AGGGCCCGTTTTGAGGGCAAGTTCCAAAGTCGAAGGGTAATCTACAACGCCTCCCATAGAGAGCCTCAAAAAGAGCTATACCGATGCTAGAATGATAGCTATTGTTATAGGCAAACTCAATCAATGGAAGATGATCATCCCAACTACCCTTAAGCTCCAATATACAAGCCCTAAGCATATCCTCAAGTGTTTGGATAGTCCTTTCGGCTTGTCCATCCGTTTGCGGGTGAAAGGCCGTAGTAAGCTTAACTCTCGTGCCTAGACCCCTTTGAAAGGACTTCTAGAAGTGTGAAGTAAATTGAGTACCACGGTCCGATATGATGGATAGAGGAATCCCATGCAACCTTACCAAGTCATGAATATATAACCTTGCATAATCTTCCGCCCCATATGTTGTCTTTACCGGTAGAAAATGAGCCGATTTTGTCATCCTATCAACCACCACCCAAATAGAATCAAAACCTTTTCTAGTCTTGGGTAAACCAACTACAAAATCCATATTAATTTCTTCCCACTTCCAAGTAGGAATCTCTATGTCTTGGGTTAGACCACCCGGCCTTTGATGTTCGGCCTTGACTTGTTGACAACTATGACAACCGGAGACGAATTTGGCAATGTCCTTCTTCATGCCTCCCCACCAATACACATCCCTCAAATCTCTATACATTTTGGTGGAACCGGGGTGAATGGAGTAGGAAGAATTATGAGCCTCCTCAAGAATTTTCTCCCTCAAACCATCAACACAAGGCACACACAACCTACCTTGGTACCTAAGGGCACCATCTCCCCCTTGGGAGAAAACTTCCACCTTGCCCTCTTTCACCAAGGCCTTCAATTCTAACAAGGAAGAGTCAAGATCTTGTTTTGCTATCACCTCATCAACCAAGGAAGACCTAGCACCATCAACAACGACCACACCACCATTACCAACCTCTTCCAACCTAACCCCCAACCTAGCCAACCGATGCACCTCCCTAGCCATTTCCCTATCACCAATATCAACATGAGCTAGACTACCCATAGACACCCTACTCAAAGCATCCGCCACCACATTAGCTTTACCGGGATGATAATGCACACTCATATCATAATCTTTAAGAAATTCTAGCCACCTTCTTTGTCTCAAGTTGAGATCTTTTTGGGTGAAGACATATTGAAGACTCTTATGATCGGTGAACACGTCAACATGTACCCCATACAAATAATGACGCCAAATCTTTAAAGCAAACACCACTGCGGCTAATTCAAGATCATGTGTAGGATAGTTCTTTTCATGCACTTTGAGTTGTCTAGACGCATAGGCTATCACCTTACCATTTTGCATTAGGACACAACCCAAGCCAACTCTAGAAGCATCACAATACACAACAAATCCCTCAAGCCCATCCGGTAGTGACAATATAGGAGCGGACACAAGTTTATCTTTCAAGGTTTGAAAACTCCTTTCACACTCGTCGGTCCACTCAAACTTAGCCTTCTTTTGTGTCAACTTAGTCATGGGAGAAGCAATAGAAGAAAACCCATTCACAAATCTCCGGTAGTAACCCGCTAAGCCCAAGAAGCTCCTAATATCCGACGGGGTCAATGGCCTAGGCCAATTTCTAATCACATCGGTCTTCTTAGGGTCTACCTTAATACCATCCCCCGACACCACATGACCTAGGAAGGCAACCTCCCTCAACCAAAATTCACACTTTTCATACTTGGCATACAACTTCTCCTCTCTCAATCTTTGCAACACAACCCTCAAGTGACCCATATGTTCTTCCTCGCTATGCGAATAGATTAAAATATCATCAATGAAGACCACAACAAAGGAATCAAGGTAGGGTTTAAAGACCCTATTCATTAGGTCCATGAAGATAGCCGGTGCATTGGTCAACCCAAAGGACATGACCACAAATTCATAATGCCCATACCTAGTCCGGAAGGCTGTCTTGGGAATGTCACACTCCCTCACCTTCACTTGATGATACCCGGACCGAAGATCAATCTTAGAGAAGTGGCTAGCCCCTTGCAATTGGTCGAACAAGTCATCAATCCTAGGAAGAGGATATTTATTCTTGACGGTGACCCTATTGAGTTGCCGGTAATCAATACACATCCTAAGGGACCCATCTTTCTTCTTCACAAACAACACCGGTGCACCCCATGGTGATTGGCTAGGCCTAATAAAACCCTTCTCCAACAAGTCCCTCAATTGTTCCTTCAACTCCTTTAACTCCGCCGGGGCCATACGGTAAGGGGGAATAGAAATGGGTTGAGTATCGGGGAGGAGGTCTATGCCAAAATCTATTTCCCTTTCGGGAGGAACACCGGGAAGGTCATTAGGAAAGACATCAAGGAATTCATTTACACCCGGAACCGACTCTATAGGAAGGGTTTTGGACTCCACATCCCTAACCCTCACAAGATGATAGAGACACCCCTTAGAGATCAACTTACGGGCTTTAATGCAAGAGATGAACCTACCCTGGACTACCACATTTTGGCTTTCCCACTCAAGAATGGGTTCACTTGGGAATTGGAACTTGACCCTACGGGTTCTACAATCAATGGAAGCATAGTATGCATGCAACCAATCCATCCCAAGAACAACATCAAAATCGACCATGTTCAACTCAACAAGATCACAAGGCAATATTTTATGCAAGATGCAAATAGGACAATTTCTATAGACCTTCCTAGCAACAACATATGCACCAATAGGAGTAGACACCTTATATGACTCATGCAACAAGTCGGGCTCAACATGAAACTTTTTGGCAACAAAGGGGGTGACAAAAGAAAGAGAGGCACCCGGATCAATTAATGCATATACATCAAAATCAAAGATTTTCAACATACCGGTAACGACGTCGGGGACTTCATCGACCCCTTGCCTCCCATGCAAAGCATAAAATCGATTGTGCCTTGGGGCACCATCTTGTCGGCCCCCTCTCCCCAAAGGAACCGCATTGGCACCTTGTGGACGGACCTCCTTACCCTTGTTGCGATTTCGAGGACAATCCATTGCCTTGTGCCCCATTTCCCCACAACTATAGCAAGCACCGGTATTTCTCAAGCACGGGCCACCATGGCCCTTACCACACTTCGGACATACATCAATATGACCCATACCCCTAACACCTTGGGCCCTTGGAACATCATTGGCAAACCCCTTATGGAGCGCATGAGAAGACCCTTGACCTTGATGAAACCGGCCTCCCGTTCTACTTTGGAACTTGCCCTCAAAACGGGCCCTCTTGGCCTCATGACCCCTCCTCTTCCTCAACTTCTCCTCCTCCATTTGTTCGGCATAGACCATCAAGCGAGACAAGTCCATGTCACTAATCAACATTGCGGACCGGCATTCTTCACTCACTAGGTCGGACACACCCATCACGAATTTGTTCATCCTAGACCGTGAGTCGGCAACCAAGTGTGGAGCATACCTTGAAAGTTGGTTAAACTTGAGGGCATACTCCCTCACACTCATAGACCCTTGTTTTAAATTCATGAACTCCACCAATTTGGCTTCCCTAAGCTCAAGAGGAAAGAATCGATTAAGGAAAGCCGTTTTGAACTCTTCCCAAGGCACCACATAGTTTGCCCCCTTCTCTTCCTTCCATTGGTTGTACCATATTTGGGCCACCCCTTTTAGTTGGTAGGCCGCCAACTCCGCCTTATCTTCTGACTTCACGCCCATGATAGCTAATATCTTGAGGACTTCATCAATGAACTCTTGAGGGTCTTCATCTAACTTAGACCCATAGAATTCCGGGGGATTCATCCGCACGAAGTCTCTCACCCGAGATGCCCGGGTAGGAGCCTGAGGGGCTTGGGGCCCGTGGTTGGCTTGATTAGCCATAGCTTGTGCAAATAAAGTAAGGGCATCCCGAAGATCCCCATTGGTCGGTTGTTCCTCAGGTGCGCGGGCTCGTCTTCCTCTTGTATTAGGCATGATCTAGCAAAGCAAAGAACAACCGTTAGGGAAGAACTTAATTCAACTCTACAGCACGACTTAGAAAGTGGAGAAGGGAAACATTTCCTAAAACGTCTCATAGCCTCCTACTCATAGTTGTGGTGCACAACACAACCATGAATCGGACTCTAATCAACGCGGTGGGTTGGACTCCGAGGATCTATCAACCTAGTGCTCTGATACCAAGTTTGTCACGGCCCAAGCCTAGGGCCTAGACGTGACCGGCGAATGGGGAACCCGAAGGAACCCCAAACAAGCCTC